TACCGAGGGGGGCAGGACTAAGGCCAGCCATCACTAAGGCCTCCTCCTTCACCTAGGGTTCGGCATGAATTGTCCCACCTAGCTGAAGCCGATTCATCATGGTCTTCTCTTCATCACTGCTATGTGGCACGATCCTCTCGACCAATGTATTTGAGTTCCCCTAACCGGACCGAAAGGACCAACCCTAGGGGCAACTAACAGAAAAGAATTTCTTCTTCCAATTATGGATGGGCAATGGGTTGTCCACCACCTTTCCTTGTCAGCCTTGGAAATACCACAAGCCTTCCCCGGGTGCTTCCATAATGCGAACAAACTCCGAAAAATGTTTAGAGTCAAAGTCACACCTCAGAGATGGGCCATCACCAACAAGGCCACTACCATCATAATGACATTGGGAGCAAGTTGGCTAAGGGTGAGGTTGTGGTGGTTCAAAATCTCGGGGATTAGGGAGTGTAGGGGAAAATACAACCCAAAGTGGAGGTAATGCTCGTGAATGCATACCTCCCCTTTAGGAGCAAGCCACTGCCGGTCAGCAACGTAGGGGAGCCAGTACTCTCATTGGCAGAGTCCCCACTTTGCTGGTCGTGCTCGACCCTTGAGACGTGACCCTCTCCCTCAACACCTGGACACTAGACGTCTGAGAGGAGCTCTTAGAGTCACTATTGTCTTTCTCATCATTCCTAGGAGTGCTATTGGGAGTACTCTAGTCGGAAAGGTTGTAAGATTCGAGGCTGACATGTCGAGGATGGAGGTTATTTACCTAAGAACTGTTTATGAAATGAAGTCTAAGGAACTGGTTGTGGAAAGCTGAGGTGTCCTCAATAGCTCCAAGACTAAAGGTTTCAAGCAAATGGTGAAGTCTCACTCAACCAGCCCCCCTATTTAAAGGAAAATGTATAGCCTAGATTCAATTGATCCAATGGCCACAAATTGACCGATCAAACAGCCCAAACCAACGGGTTTCATGTGGTATTGACCTCGGGAGATGAAATGACACCAAGAGACGAGGCCAGTTTGCCCATCGACTTTAGCTCAAGGACACACCGAAGTAAACCCCCCCCCTCCCCCGGTGTCATCTTGCAAATGGCTTCAATCAGTCAACCCTAGCACCCATCCTGTGTATGGACCTATGACGGATGGCATTAGCACCTGTAGAGGCATGGGCAATGCACACAGGTAGCCTAGGCCCATACGAAGGAGTTGTTTCCACACAACCATTGAGAAGAGCTCCACAATCAAGGCCTCAACCATGCTTTCTTTGGCCAAAGCTGAGGCCTCAATGCAACTCGCCTAACAACATCGACTGCTATGACCTCGAGAGTAGGGGGCAAGTGATGTAGGGATATTTGGCCGACCCGCAGATCTTGACATGTGGCATCAATCGGATGCATCCTGGCCATCCATCATCAAGCACTACCAACCACCACCACCTACTCCCAACTACCCCTCTTCTAAGGCAACTTCGGCTATTAAAGGGGCTCACACATTGAGGTAAACACACACAGATTTAAGTTCTAAGTTTATTCTCTTGCTTGGTTCAACCCCTCACAGCTCTTAGTTAACTTGACCATCAGAGTTTACGTTCCTAGGATAACTCTCAGGGCCTCTGATGTCTTCTTTCTCTCAATAAGTTGGACCCGTTGGCTATGGATACCAGAAATTACGTTGTTGCCTTCGACAATGTATTTGATAGCAACACGATATTTTGCATTAGATCGTTTCACAAGCATTCCATTTCAGAAGAATAAGTGTTTTTGAAAAAACACAAAAGACGTCGGGATGTAGGCTGACTTGGCATTTAAAGTGATTTGACTTAATATTATAGGGGAAAACTTTGGCTGTCTACAAGAGATAGGAGTTCTTATTGCCTACCTATCAACCTCTGTATGACACGTGTCTAATTTGTTTCAATTTAATTCTTAACTAACAATTTTTTTTTTTTTTTGACGTCAGGAAGGCTTAACTAACAAACCTAAATTTGTTTGTTTGAAATAAAAGACATTTTTCATTTTATAAAACCTTTTCCGCATTTTTTTTTCATTTTGCCCAATTCATCTCTCCCATTTGCCCCTTTCTTCCTCATCTCCTTTTCAGCTCTTCCTCAACTCTCATCTGATCAGCCACAATCGTTGTTGTCTAAATACATGACCATGAAAGTTTTTTTATTTGCTAAAATAAAATTTTATTTATTAAAAATGAAAACGAAAATACAATAGGAGGGACAAATGACCAGATTATTTGCACCTATGATGAAAATAAAAAGCAGCTAATCGGATAGATGACCTAAAAGATCAAAGCCAAGATAGGGAAGAATTCAACCAAAAAACGAAAAAAAAAATGAAAGCATTTCACAATTAAAGTCAGAAGAGAAGTTAAGTAAGAAGAAAAAAATCTCAGCCTGGATTTATGGAGAGGCACACCTAAAACCATACATGTTTCACTCAACAATGTCTCAAACCATGTAAGAACTATTAAGATAAGACGAATGTAATATGATGCAGAGAGAGTGAGAGAAAATGATTAAAAAAAAGAGAGTTAGAAATGAGTTCAGACAGTTAAAGAGAAAGATCTTCCCAAGTTATTAGTCAACACTTTGAGTGGAGTTTTCTGTAGAAAGAACAATTGATGCCTGAATTAATACTAGGCCAGGCCAGACACAGAGCAACCCAGAGGGAATTGCAAAGTCGATCTGCAACTCCAACACCACCTTTGAAGTCTGCAACTCCGACTAATGTCCCACTAAAGAGCTGAGGATCTAGTCATCAATCTCTTTCATGGCTAGAATGAGGTCAGGTGTCAAAGACCGTGGAAAACTCCGATCGAAGGTAGTGGCCAATCTGATGAGAGAGAGAGACAAAAGAACAACAAAGCAGGCAAGACTGTTTCAATAAGATATTTTAAAAAATCAGATTTTTAGGATAAAAAATAGGGTAAATTTCTTAAAAAACGAAATTGACTTGCGCTAGCCTTACTATTTCTCACAATTGATTAGACATTATCGCGCCGCTAAACATGGACGTAAAAATGTAAAATGATCATTTCACCCTTAAACTCAATCGTCAACCGGATGGAGGACGACGATGCTCTCTTCGCCTTCAGCTTTGATATTCTGAAAAAAGTGGCTGCTGCTAATGAGGACCACGACGACAAGTGTGAATCAGAGAATGACGGTGCTGACTGGTTTCGTTATGAGGTAGTTCTTCCTGGTCACAGCGGACGGAGAATGGAGGACTGACTGAAATGTTCGTGCAGAAGGCCGACTGGTTTCGTTAAGATGCCGGCTGGTTTCGTTACGAGGCAGCTCTTCCCGGTCACAGCAGACGGAGGACGAAGGATTGACTGAAATGTGCATACAGAAGGCCGACTGGTTTCGTTACGAGGAAACTCTTCCCTGTCACAGCGGATGGAGGACGGAGGACTGACGCGTGCAGAAGACTGACTGGTTTCATTACGATGCCGACTGTTACGAGGCAGCTCGGCCTTCTGCACGCACGTTTCAGTCAGTCGTGCCTAGAGGACAGGCCAGATACAACAGAGCGAAGCGATGACCCGAGAGCTGATTCCCCACTCGCAAGGGGACAGGAGACGGCCATCTCGAATCACATCACGACCTACAGGAAACACCGGTGAGACCTGCGAAGGCAACCCGATTGGGAGTCAGAGGATCCATAGTACCTGCAGCCTCCCGTTTGTTGATGCATTCAATTACTCCATGTGACCTTGAGAGAAGTAGAAAACCCTCTCGTTCGTCTGAGGAATGTCAGTGGCAGCTATCTCCACATGCCATGAAACCAGTTGCCGAAGCTCCCAGTATATAGTTGCGAAATCGCTGAGACAGGGGCTTTTTTGTTCGCTGACTCCTGAGTTCAAATGCTTGGTGACAAAGTCAAATTGCTTCCATTTAACAATCAGAGAGAGAAAGCATTAGATTGATAAGAAAGTGGGGGTAAGGGATCTCTTTTCTGCAACGGAAAAAAAGCAGAGCAAATTTGACTCGGCACAACCTAACGTGCTTATGAGGAAGTGAATCAGAATCCGCAGCTATTGAAGACAGTCTTCTTGGCTTTCGCTTTCCCGGGATCTCTCCTGTTGCTGGAATAACTGGTGTTGATGGAATAGAAGTTACCGCTGCAAATCTGATTCGGTCTCTCCGTCAGCCATTAGTATATCTCGATCAGCAGCCTCTCATTTCTTCGTGAGCCATCAGTATATCTCGATCAGCAACCTCTCGTTTCTCCGTCAGCCATCAAAATCCAGATTTGCTCCTCCGAGGATTACCCCTACACAGCTACACGACTCTAGGTAAGAGAGGGAAAAATAAAGAGAGGTAAGGGAAAAGAGACCGGAACTATGAGAAAGAAGGGGTTGCCGGTCAGAGGAAGGGGATAAGGGAGGGAGGTAATATTGTGTTTTAAAAGAATTTTAAATTAGTCAATTGTGAGAAACAACAAATGTAATGTCAGTGAATTTTCAAATAGTAAGGGTACACTTAGTCAATTAGCTAATTTAAAAGGGTAGTTTGTTTAAGAAATTTATCCTAAAACAAATATTAGAATAAATTATTTTCATTTGTTATAAGAATCGTTTAGTTTTTAGCTCTGGTTAGATTATAATGGTCTTAAACTGTTAAACATGCGTTATATTGTTGATAGGCAACAGTAATTCTTGTCGCCGGTAAGCAGTCAATGTTTTCCCATGGGGGCATTCTTTTTTTGAATTTTGAAAAGGAGAAAAGTTGGTTAATAAGATTTTGATTCCCATTGACTAAGAGATTCATGTTCTTTTTTCAGATTTATTAGGGATCAATTGAAGTTTATATTCTAGGTATCACTTACCTGAGTAAGTACTATCCATATCCTAGGTGGATAAATAACTTTCCCACTTGGGGGGAAAGTTACCAACACTTAATGGGGCAAAAATGCCCCTTTTAATGTTGGATTTTTATGGCTAAAATAGTCATTGCCTTATTTACATGGGAAATAAAAAAACATGGATAAATGCATTTACCTGGGCAAGTCTTTCTTGAGAAAGATTTACCTGGGTAAATGCATTTACCCTAATAACTAATTTATCGAAAAGTGAATAATGTATTTATAATGACAACTTTGTGACATCTAAGAAAAATAACTAGCTTTTTCAAATTTTGATGTGCCATGTCACCAAAGCAATTCAGTATGTGTTTGGTTATGTAGGTGTTTATCTTAAAATGTTTATTGCTTTAAGCGTTTATTTGAAAAACATTACTTTAAACTTTTTTTTTTTTAATTTTTGTTGTTTGGTTGAGCATAACTTCAAACATTTCTTACTTTCCACTCTAGATTAACATCCCATAAAATATGCCACATAAGCATTTCATTTCAAGAAAAAATATTGGAGCATTGGGGAAATAAGAATTTAACGTTTCCTCAAATGTCTCATGTACATAAATCTAAACATTTATGATAAAACGCTAAAACCAAAGAGTGGTTTCATGCACAATAAACACCAATGGTTTCATGCACAATCGCTAGGTGTTTCAAGAAACCCTTCATTTTCCAAATTCGAAAACCAAATGTTTTTTATTTGAAAAATCAGATCATCAAATGAGAGTTTTTTTGCCAATTCCATTTAATTGTTGATGTGACACGCATGACACATAACACTTAGATTTTAGATCAATGACTTGGCAACAAAAACTTCTCCCAAAAATAAATATTTTTGTTGCCCAAAGTTGCACAACAGAAATAGATAGATGAAAAACGAATGATATGAATCCTTACCTTCTTTTCCTAAGCATTTGGTTCTACTTGAAAACACAAAACCGAATAGTTGAGAGAGAATAATATGGCTGTTGCCAAATTTGAATTGAAATTGTGGCCCGGACAGTAAGAACCGATTCCAGCCCAATTATCATTGGAACACAAAACTCAAAACTAAAGGTGTAAATCGGGCTGCCGCCTGCGGCCCGGTATGACGGTCTGTGGGCCGTGCCAGGCCTAGTACAATCATGCAGACCGTGCTGGGCCTAGGGTTTTAGGTCCACGGGCTGGGCCGCATGACACAACCAAGCGGGCCGTGCTGCCTGTGGCTCGTGTGCCAGCAAGACCCAACCCGCAGCCCAGCCCAGTATCACCCATATATATTATTTATATAAATTATAATTATATAATAATATATGGTATATAATATATTAATAAAATAAATCATTTTTAAATTTTATTATACTAATTTATTTAATTTTTATATATATAAGCAATTGTGTACATCAAAATTCATATAAAATTAAAATTTTAAGGTTTTGGTCAAATTTTTTAAATAAATAGCTTTGGCCCAAGGCTCGACCCACGGGCCTGGGCCGTGGGCCATTCTGGGCCACCGACAGGTCCGTTTCACACCTCTACTCAAAACCGTAACTGGTATAATTGGTTTGGATCAGTTTGGTTACATCGGATAGATCCGATCCACTGTCGTTTTCTTTCAACGGATTATTTTCCATGGTCACACTACATGTAACCAAACAACAGAAGACGGCATTCAAAGGTGAGCTCTTCTCACTGCCTTACTTTTTTTTTTTTCTTTTCATCCAAGCCTTTGTAAAGTATATGAAGATTCAAGGAGAATAGCTCAACACAAGGTTGAGTGTAGCCAGTAGCCCGGCCAGACAGGTACATGTCCAAACGTCATGGATGGTCTAGAATGACATTCCTTCTACGCCAAACAAGTTATATAATAGACAACCGAAAAGAGATCAGGACTCGGAGGAAAGCCAATTTGACATCTGAATATCATACAGTTTTCACATCCTCTAATGGTTTGAATGGTTGTGGATGCGTTGCAATCTTCTCAAGCTTTTAAGGGCTAAAGACTGAGGCTAATTTGGTCGTATTAGATTAACTCTACTAATTCATACTGTCTTATTCTCATTGTTCTTTTATTAAAAAGCGAGAGAAAATTGGAAGAATTTATCATTGATGTGTAAATACAAAGTACAACAAAATGTTTATTTCATCAAATCCAAGAATACAAACCCATTCCATAGGCTATGCAATAGCATTGACGCTACCAAGTTCCTTGATCTTGCAAAGACAACACCCATCACCACCCCAAGGAAGAAAAGTGGTAGTATCCTCTGTGCATTGAAATGTGCCAAAGCAAAAGCCACTGAACTAACCAAGATTGAGCACCATACAGGCATGTATTTAGTCAATGAAGGGAGAAGGAATCCCCGGAAAACAATTTCTTCCCACACAGGAGCACAGATAGAAACTACTATTGCATATAAGGCCATTGCCACGGGGTCCCTAGCCACAATTGATTGCTCAACACTTGATACAACAACTGGTGTGGAGGGAAGAAGAGGCAAGAGATTGAGGTTGACCTGAGATAGCTGGTTCACTAAAGGAAACATGAGGCATCCCAATACAACATCTAATTGCCAATTCCCATTCAGACTGAACCTAAACCAGTCAGAGGGAAGAGGGCGGAACCTGTTAAGGCAACGTTGGAGGATTGCAATGCCAGCAAGACCCTCTGCCACATCCGTAAGGAGACTGTATAGGGCTTGGCCTCTATATGTCAGAGACTCCTTACTAAAACCTGCTGCATGAGCCAGAAATGGAACTATCCAAGACCCAACAAACCAGAATGAAGCAATCCAGAGAAGCATAACCTGCAGCACCAAACAACTTTTCTTTGTTTTTCCTTTCATCTTCCATTAACCCATATCATAAATTAATTTAAAACAGGAATGTTTCAAATAATTCATTCTAATAGTTAAAAAAACTTAATGCTTACCTGAATAATGGTTTCTGCTGTCCATGGCACTGTCCAAGGTTTTCCAAGTATTCCCAACACTGCATCTGCAGCCTGAAACAAAGATCAAGTAGTAGTAGCACTAGTGCTAATAATTATAATAATAAAACCATTTTCTTCATCTTAGGCTTTTTACAGACTTGTCAAAAAGTTAAAAACTAAACTAAAAATTAAAATATATAGAAAAGTGATTTTACCCAATTTTTAATCCATATTTTTCATATATGTACTCATAGTTGTCAAGGCGATGCCTAGGCAACAAGGGGTCCTTGGAGTCTCACCTCGCCTAATTGCCAAGCAGTTTTCTATAGTGTGTTATAACAAACTTTTATATTCTTAATTTTTTGAGGTTATAATTATAAAATAGACATTTTTAAACTAAAATATTCATTTTGTGTGTTTATATACTAATTTCTTTTTGTTATTTTGTTATTTGTTAGGGTTTAATCAACACAAACATTGCTAAATGCTATATTGAACCCTCAAAGACTTCAAAACCTGAACCAATAAGTAAGAAAGAACATAAAATGTTGTCCAATCAACACATTTTCTTCTTTTTCTTTACTAATTTTGTGTTTTTATATACTAATTTCTTCTTCTTCTTCCACCTGTTCTTTTCTTCTTTTCCTACAACAGAAATAGGGGTTCAGCCCCTATATTTTTTGAATTTTCTTTTCTTTCTTCTTTTTCTTCTCATGAATATGTTGGAATATGTTGATTTTCTATACTTTAACATGGTTATACTTTTCTTATGAAAATTATGGATATTTATTAAGGAAATATGATTATGGAACCTAGGTAACTACCCTAGGATACATGTTTTTAATTAAAAAAAATCCATCACCTAGGCAATGCCTAGGTGACTAGGAGCCCCCCTGTCACCTAGCCTCACCTTGGCGCCTTGAAAACTATGTATGTACTTAAAACAAAAGAATATACTATTTGTGCATTAGAAGCCTATGATGAGATAATTAAGTCAACTTGAAAGTCAAACTAATCCATATACCATGGCTTTTTAGCCTACATAAGGTGGTAAAAAAGTCAATGTGTTCCTAAAGTGTCTTAATAACCTAAATAAATCATTTTCTATTAAGCACTTCAAAACAAGAGTCTCTTGAAAGGAAGTAAAGAAACAAAGAAATGACAAGTAGAGAGACATCTTATTTGAATTGAATTGCATGAACTGTATTAATCATAAAATTCATGAATTGCTTTATGGGGTTCAAAAAGAATTGCAAGATTTATGCAGAAAAATCATTCAGACATAAGGTTTGAACTGAAATCCTTTGGATTAATGATTCAAATTGTAAATCATATCGTAAATTATAAGATTTTGAGAACTGTATGTATTAATGTTGTCATCATCATCAGAACCTTATCCCAACAAATCATGGTTGCATAAATGAGTCTTACTCCATGAATTATAGTTATAAACAATTGGTCTACATGATCACTAATCCAAACCAGCTACTAAATAGTGGTGGCACAGCAGACCCAGCCAAGCTGGTACTATGCTTGGGATACATATATGGCAACAGCTTGAGTCTAGGCCACAAGCCAGAGAGAGGCACCAAGTGAATTGTATGGTTACAAAAAACAAAAATGATCTATGGTAACCAGTACCATTAAACATTCTTTGAAAATGAAATATAAATATCAAAAAGATTGAGAAAAAAATGGATGAAAGAAATTCTACCTCTTGAAGATTTGAAACCCAGCCCCTTTCTACAACACTAGATTGACCTAGTTCAAGTTCGACCAACTCTTCCGGCAGCTTGTCTCCTGAAAACTCAGACTCGGGAATGTATGAAGAAGATTCCTCATCCTTAAAGCATGAAATTTTCCATTTCTACTAGAGAAGAAAAATCAAAATTAGAACTTTTTTAATCAGTAACATGATCAATCAGAATTTCATTAAGCAAGAAAAGAATGGGGGATACAAGACAGATTATAAAACAAGGATAAGCAAAAAGGTATAAAAGCTCAATATCTTGGTCTGACCAATCAGACCCCGATCTCCAAGCCAATACACCAGAAACACTCCCCCCAAAAGTTCATTCCTTAACACCACCTCTTGCCAATGAGTCAGGAAGCCATTAGCCATTTCAGGATCCAGCGAGTGTGGAACAAGATATTCCTCTTAGAAACCAAAGAGCCCATGACCCCCTCTCTTCCTCTGCTGCTCATCCAACTAATGGTAACCTGAGGATCTCTCTCCATCAGAATCCAAGAGAAGCATAGGGCATAATTTGAAGGAGGTTTCTGTAGCAATAGGATCCAAGCAAAGCTGCAACAATCCGTTATGGTTTTTGAAAACACCTATACCTAAGAGACTGGGGTTCCCCATGGAGCATCTTCAAAAATTAAAGATTGATCACATCCTGAGGAAGGGACCAAAATATGGATATCTAGAGGTGTAAAGTGGGTCGTTCCACCATCCCCGGTGAAAAATTAGGGAGTCGGCCTGGCACAGCCCACGGCCCGGGCCCATGTGGGCCCGTGCCATGCCGTATTGTGCCACGGTCCGGGCTGGCCCGTAGGCCGAGCCTTGGGCCAGCTTGGGCCGTGTATTGGGCCAAAGCTATTTATATTAAACAAATTGACAAAAAAACTTAAAATTTTAATTTTATATGCTTACATATGCAATAATTAAATAAATTAGTATAATAAAATTAAAAGAAATATTTATTTTATTAATATATTATATACTATATATTATTATATAATTATAATATATATAAAATATATATATGGGTCGTGCCGGGCTGTGCCATGGGCCGTGCTGGGCCAGGCGGTGAGCTGGGTCGTGCCGTGCCATGCCGGCCCGTGGACCTAAAATCCCAGGCCCAGCACGGCCCGCATGGTCATGCCGGGCCTAGCACGACCCGCAGACCGTCGTTCCGGGCCGTGGGCGGCACGACCCGATTTACACCTCTATGGATATCATAGCTATAGGCCTAGAGAAGCACAGAAACGATAGAATGCTGTTTGACATGGAAATTAGTCACTATTGTTATTTTTTTTTAAGTGCCTCCTGTGATAGATATAAACTGGGGTTCCAATGGAGCACTTGCCAATCTAAAAGCTTTGGGATTAGAGTAAGTGACACATCAACAACAGGATATCTTTACAAGGCCATCATAATTGGAATACAACTGCAAGCTGAACAAGATCTATATTTCTCATCATTTAATACCCTTTATTTAGAAATGAACTGATGTTTGATGGACTAAGTTATGAGAAACATATGTAGTCCTTTTTTTCTCAAATTACAGAAAGGATTTGGGAGTGCTTCCAAATATATAATCGATATCAACAAAGATTTTATTCCCACAGTTCAACATGTTACCTCCATTTTTTTTCAAAAATCTTAAAACTTTTATTGGCAGGAGAAACATAGAAAACACCACTTCCTAGATGGTATCTCAATCCAAATCCTAAACTCACCAAGTTAGACTTATTATATACTTAGCAAAACTGTAAAACCAATTAAATTAATATCATCCAATGTAATTACTACAAACCAGAAACAAAGAAAATGAATACAGTATTATCAAATTCAGAAGGTAACTAGACATTTTTTCCACAACTAATAAAATGACATATCTAACACGTGGAGCATGGTTGGTTAACATAAATTCATAACCCATGTACCATACAAAATCTTCCTTATGTGCAGCGTACATGGCTACAGTAGTTTCTATAATAGAAACAGAGCTGGTTCTTAATTGGAAAGAATGAGACTATATCTGAGTTTGAACCAATTATATATACCGATCATACATGTTTGAGATAATCAGATTGGATCTCTGGCTTAGATAACTGGGTACATTGACAACACTGTACTATTTCAGACACATGGGGAGATATTGTGGCTAATCCTAACCATCTATGATGAGCCCCTCTATGTTGTCTTCCCTAGTCTACGCTGGCTCTATCTTCTATGATCTATATCCAATCATGAAGTATAGTTTCAACCTTGTTTCAAGTGATTCTAGCCATTTGAAAATAAGAAGCTAGGCAAAGGGGCTAATTTAACTATTTTGGATTTCTTTGCTATATGGAATCATTAATCCCAATATAATTTCTGTTAAGTGTGCCAAGTCAATGTGAGGTCAGACAAAACTACCTCCAACCAAGCACTTCTAAACTATTGGATTGAGTTGAACCAAGTAGTTTATGTTCTTGATCCATCAATTGAATTGATTGTTTGTCAGATACCACTGTATGAGAATAATCAAGCAATTTGTGATGGGTGGGGTCCTTCCTATAAGCAGGTTCTTTCATAAAATATAATTGGAATTATAATTATTTTTTTCCTGCTTCCACCTTTAACTCTTAAAAGTCTTTTGTTTTCTTCCGCAGATTAGACATGATATGATATTCCATAAGGGGGGAATCACTTTGGACTTCAGTGACCAACTTGCAAGAAAATAAATTCACTTTATGTTATTTTTACTTCATAGAATTAGAATTGGGTCAATAAGCTCCACAGAACTCCATCCTCTCACCACATTATCTACCATGAACTCTATATACTCATACCATCTTTCCCCTAGCAGTACCATGGGATAGAAGGGCAGATTAATGAAGTACTTCCAAATCCTCAGTCAAAACAAAGGGGCAGGATAACTCTTTCAATAAAATAAATAAAAAACCAATATTTACATCAAAATTTCAATCTCAACAGGAAAATTACTTGAAAATCTTAATTTTAGAAAAAGAGAAATTGATCCTTCTTCACGATTCCCAAACAAATGACAGAGAAGTGAGGAACCAAACCACCCACCAACTAATTTTTAATCATTAAACCGTCAATTAACGTGGATTTTTTATGTATATAACAATAAGAACTAAAACCATCAAAACAATCTCATAAATTGAATACAAAACTATAAACCAAATTAGAAACAAAGGGGGTTATTCAGTCTCTTACATTCTTTGAAGACCTTGAATGGCATTCAACAAGACGTAAACTCTTATTGAGTGGCCAAGAGCTTCTAGTTGGCTTTGGAACTCCAACCCCAGAAACGAAAGGTGGAAGAAAAGAGGGACTTCTGCGGAGACAGTGGCAGCTAGTGCTCGACATGGGGCAATATCTGGATTTATTGAAACCCAGCGTACAGAGCTCCTACGTCTCTGTAATCCGCATCACAGAAACGGCACATAGTCCTTTGCCTTACACTATACCGATGAGACAGACCTTATTTCTCCTTATCACATACACAAAACCCTAATCTTCCACTCCATGCTTCAGCTTCGACGTCTACGCTCCCTGCCAATGAGTTAAAACACGAAATCGACAGGTTCTGATGACATTCGTTGCAACCGACTAACATATGGCTCATATCCATTTCATTTTAGGAGCTATTCTAAACCCTACGAAATATCTTGCACATAATCATAGTAAGAGATAAACCTAGCGATCAGACCAGAACAGGTCGAAACAAAAGCGGGATATCAAGATGTCAAAATGAAATTGCAGAAGATCGAGAAACCAAACGCGGTAATGATAACAAGGGAAAATCGGATAAGAAACAAAGGTGTAGAAGAAAGAAAGATGGAGACTTCCGAAAACCCTAGGCGACAGGCAGGCCGAATGGAATCAAATTGGACAGTAGATTGGGTCCCACACGATTCGCTAGAAGACGGTGTTGGAAGTTACCGTCCTAAACAACGGGTTGACTAATCCGTATCTGTAGCATCTCTTCAGCCAAACATCCCTCTCTGCCTGAACTCGAGTGGTCCAAGAAGTCAGACTTTCGTTCACTGGTTTGCAGTTCAGTAGTTCACGCTACACAGTTCACAGTCCCATTCCCATTTCCCACTCAGAGAGATTGAGAAAGAGAGAGAGAGAGAGAGAGAGAGAGAGAGAGAGGTGATGAAGCTTGTCTCAACGAGTAGAATCCTTCACCGACAGAGTTCTCGTTTCAGAGATTTGTTCTTCTCGACGGAAACCCTAACATCTCCATCCCCCGATTCTCTTTACGAGAGAATCGCAGTCACTGGGGACCCTAAGATTTCGGTTGTTCCAGTACTCGAGAAATGGGTTGACGAAGGAAGATCTGTCAACAAAGTTGAGCTTAATTTGCTGATAAGGAAGTTGAAGTTTCTCAGAAAATTCAAGCACGCTCTTGAGGTCGGTCTCTGTTTTTCCTCTCCTTGTTTTAGCTTCTTCTATTTAAAATTTCTTCTTGGGCGTGTCTTTTGGTGTGGTAGAAATAGAATAATCTTCAGTAGCTCTACGAAGAAAATTAATATTCGTTTATACGAAGCATGAAAAGTTGGACATTCTCAAATGTCCTTCAGACCGTAATATAGAACTCAGAGGGCGAAATCCTTGTTCTGTTTTAATCTGGATGAGTTCGAAACAACCTTTTGTTTATGTGTTCGATGAATGAACTTGCACTTTACAATGAAAAAAAAAATCTAGTCTAATTGTTACAGTTATATCATGATATATTTAGTTAAAATTATTTTTGTTCTTTAACCTCTGTGTTTTGCCTGTTTTTGTAGCCACTGGTTCTAAAATACTATGGCCTTTTGTGCTTTTATAAAGTTATTGAGTGAAGCTTTTATGACGGTAAGCGTAGCCTCCTCGAGCAACGGGACATGAATCTATGCTGTAGTTCAGCTTAAATGATCTTAACAGCACGCAAGGGTAATGGGTGAACGATCAAGGGAGACCCATTACTTTCTTGGTTGAAACAACAAGGTTGCAATCACTTTGCCTTATTGAATGATAAGGTGAATAAAACATTTATGGTAGTAAAATCAGCCTCCTCAACCAACGAGACTTGATTTTACACTGTAGTTCAGCTTGGATGGTCTTAACAGAATGTAAAGACAGAGGGTGAATGATCAAGGGAGACCCATTACTCTCTGATTGAGCACAACAAGGTAGTAATCACTAACTTTTCTTTCTTGAAAGATTAGGTGAGTGAAACTTTTCTGGCAGTAAAGGCAGCCTCCTCAACCAATGGGGAATGAATTTACACTAGTTCAGCTTAGGCGGTTTTAATTGCATACAAAGTAGGTGAATGATAAAGGGAGACCTCTGATTTAAAAGGTGTGCCTAGGTGCACAGGTGAGTCATAAGGCTTGTGCCTCACTTAGGACTAGGCACAGCCCCTTTGTAAAGGCATGTGTCCGGTGCGCCTTGCAATTCAGCTCAGGCATGCGCTCAAGGTTCGAAATTTCGATATGTATCGGCCAATGTGTGTTGTATCGGGGGCTTCCTAATTCGCTCCTATAGGGGGTGTTTCGGGGTTTAACCCAGTTCTAGGGGTGGATTCGAGCCAAGCCAAGCCAAATAGTGGCTCGGCTTGAGCTCGGCTTGCCAAGGTAGTACAAGGCTTGCGCTAGAGCTCGAGCTCGGCTCAAGTCAAAAACTTGTAAGCTCAAGCTCGGCTCTACTCGAGCTCGATTTGAGAAAAAATGTTTTATAAAAATAAAAAATTATATAAAAATATTTTTTATTTGATATTTAAAAAATTAAGAATTATAATATTTTTATTATATATATATATATATTTGAGCTTGGCTCGTTTATTAATCGAGCCAGTAAATTGGGCCCAAGCTCAGCTCGAAGCTCGGTTAAAACCGAGCCGAGCCAAGCTTTTCACAAACCGAGCTCGAGTAGCTCGTGAAGAGCTCAACTCGTGGCCACCCCTACCCGGTTCAGGGGGTAGACACGCCTTAAACCGACCCCTCTGAACCAGGTTTAAAAAAAACTAAAAAAATAGGGGAGCAAGCCCCCCGATACAGTTCGATACGCCCCTACTGGCGTATTGGGCTGTACCGATATTTTGAACCTTGTATGTGCCTCAGTTTAATTTTGCGTTTTTTGCTCTTTTTAAACCATGGTGGCTGGGCCCTTTTGTCATTTTTTCCTTTCAAAAGTTATTCATTCATTCTTCTTAATACAAGACATTTTTTTTAAAAGATAAGGAATTCTAATTAAAATTATAGAACCAACTTTTTATGTATGGGTTAGGAATTTAAAACCTTAGCATGGACTTGTTTGGGCTTGCCTCAAAGAGCTTGGTACAAAGGCGGCTCATAGAATTAAGAATGCAAGATGCTTAACATCACATTAGCTATTTGAAGTAATGCGATTGGAAAAGAAATGGAGATTGGAAGTTTCACATGCTTAAATTCTTGAGTGCTGGAATATGTTTTATATGTTATGTCTATGTATTTTAATTTGAGCTAATAGGATTTTTATGCAAAAAGCCCTTTGTGCCTTGTGCTTTTAAAACACTGAGGGAGATTCATTATTTTCTTTGTTGAAGAAACAAGGTAGCAATCACTAACTCTGCCTTCTTGAAAGATAGGTAAGCTTTTGGTAGAGAATACCCTGTGGAAGTGAGGTTCGTCAAGATGTTGAGATCCCAAATTCTTTATAAGAAATAAAAAAGCAATTACCTATTTAGATAGACAGAGGAAATGGTTTTTTCTTTATTCAAAGAAAGAGAGTAGATGGATGGGAATCTATCTTTGAGGGAGACATCCCCAAACCAGACATCTTCCCAAAATCAAACTTTATTCCTTGCATAAGAATCAAATCTGATAAACGGAAGAAAGGAGGGAAAAATGCCATGGATAGCTTTCCAAGGAGATGACTGGGATGCCCTAGGGTCAAGACCAGTATCCCACTTGTTTTCTGCCACCCCGTGTATACTCACTATCACTTTGTGCCACAAGTTGTCTTGTTCCAAAGGTAGTCTCCATAACCACTTTCCCAAAAAGGCTGTATTCCTTAGCTTTATGTTTCCTATACCCAACCCTCCACTATCTCTACTTCTAGAGACCACCTCCCACTTCACCAAGTGATCTTTCTTTGTATCCCCTGGTTCTCATAAGAATCCCTCATTAATTTCTCCAATTTAAAAGCCACACTAGTGGGGATCTTGAAGGTAGAAAGGAAGTAAATTGATAGGTTTGCCAAAGTTGATTTTATTAGGGTAATTCTTCCTCCCAAAGAGATGTAATTTCTCTTCCATCCTGCTAACCTCTTTGAGAATCTTTCCAAAACTGGCTACCAGAAGCTTTCTGACTTTGGATTCCCTCCTAAAGGTAATCCTAGATACTCTAATGGCCAATCACCAGCTTCACATCCCAACACTCTAGCAAGGATTCCTACCTCTTCTTCCGATTTATTAACCCCTACCACACATCTCTTTCCCCAATTAATTTTGAGATTAAAGGCCTTTTCAAACTGATTTACCAACCTCTTCAAATTGATTAACTCCTCTTGCTCCCCTCCACAAAAAACAATAATATCGTCTGCAAACTAAAGATGAGTAACAACCACTGCGTCCCTCCCAATTCTCCAACCTCTGATCAAATTATTAGAATCAGCCCTAGCAATTACAACACAAAATGAGTATTTTAGTTTAATAATGTCTATTTATGGTTATTATCTTCAAAAAAAGAATATAAAAGTAATTTATAATACAATGTAAAAAACTGCTTGGCGATCAGGTGAGGCGAGCCTCCAAGGGTGCCTTGTCGCCTAAGCGTCGCCTTGACAACGCCTAGTTTTCAAGGCGTCTAGGCGATTCTGGGTGACACTGGGGTGCCTAGTCGCTTAGTCGCCTAGGCGATGAAAACTTTATAATAGAAAAAACTAACTTTTGGATAGTTCCTTAGTTTTATATACCTTTCAACATGTATATTAATTGAAAAAAAAATAGCAATACTCTTTCGTAAGAACATTAAATTTCCTCTAAAAATGTGGCAAGTCGTCACATCTAAAATATAAAAATCTTTTACATATATTAATTTCATTATTTTAAAAAATAATACTATTCTAATACGTTTTTACCAGATCAATTTCATATCAATTACCAGCTAAAAAAGGTTATTAACTTTATATGGTAAATATTCAAGATGGAAAGTTAAATAGAAGAAACAAGGATAGAGTTTTTGTTTTATTTAACTAGAGAGAGAGAGAGAAAATAGAAAAAAAAAAAAAGAACATCTTTATAATTCTATTCTTTCTTTCTTTCTTTTTCTCTCCTCAAAACCCTTTTGTTCTTTTAAATTTCAATAGAGAAACATTAAAACAAAGTATAATTGATATATATGTAGCATATTATAAAATCTTTTAACGCATACATTAATAAGATACAACAATATAAATGATATTATAAAAGGTGCCCACCTTGTCATTTTTGTTGCCTAGGTGGGCGCCTAGTTGCTTAAAAGTCAAGGCGTTAAAGCGAGGTGCCCAGCCAAGGGTGCCTAGTCGCCTATGGGAGTAAGGTAGATTAACTTGGCAAAATTTGGGTGCTGGTACCTATTGTTTACGACTTTGCTCTATATAGGCTGTACTTGTCAATGAGTGTAACTTTGAAGATTAATACAGTTTTTTCACCTTTGCTTTTTTTTTTTAAAAAAAAAAAGGGGGAAAGAGAGAAAAAGAAATAGAAAGAAAGAAATTAACCTGGAGATGTAAAACATAGATTCAAATTCAATTTGTTTGTACATACAGATATCCATTTCAAATTCAATTTGATTAAAGTATCAGTAGATTTATGTAAAATTAGCATACATTTATAAAAATAAATATAAAAAAAGCATACATACAATAAATAGAAAACATAAAGAATTTTAATACTAAATGGATATCTGAATCTGACCTTAATGGATTGAAATTTGAAATTGAGACATTAAAATCCGATCCATTTCCAGCCCTTTATTTAGGCTCATAATCTGTCTGTTGCATGTTTTCTGTTTTTTCTACCATGTTTTGATATTTTTTCTTGCTTTTTTTCTTCCATCAGATATCTCAATGGATGACTAACCGTAGATATTTTGAACTATCACCAAGTGATGCTGCAATGCGATTGGATTTGATATCCAAAGTTCATGGCCTCGAACATGCAGAAAAGTATTTTGCTAGCATTTCAAATAAATTGAAAGCACTTAAGACATACGGTGCTCTTCTGAACTGTTATGTGCGAGAAAAATCTGTTGAAAAAGCAGAAGCCCTTGTACAGAACATGAAGAGCATGGGTTTTGCAACAACATCTTTTCCTTATAATATGCTGATTATCCTTTATTTTCAGACTGGACAGCATGAGAAAATAGACATCCTAATGCAAGAAATGAAAGAGAAGGGCATCCTTCATGACCAGTTCACATTGAACAACCAACTGAGTGCATTTGCTTCAGCTTCCAACGTTAGGGGGATGGAAGAAACCCTAAATCAGATGGAGAAGGATCCCTATATAACTATTGATTGGAATACCTATGCAATCATAGCAAATGGGTACATTAAAGCTGGACTTTTTGACAATGCTTTAGCAATGCTGAAGAAAATGGAAAGAATTATCATTACTCAAAGATCAACTACAGTTGGTCTTGACTATCTTCTCTCGCTATATAGCAGCATGGGAAGAAAGGATGAGCTTTACAGAGTTTGGAATCTGTACAAGTTATCTGGGAAGCGAAATTCATCTTATTGCTGCATGATAACATCACTGGCAAAACTGGATGATATCAAGGGAGCTGAGATGATCTTCAAAGAGTGGGAGTCCAACTGTGCTTTCTATGATTTCCGGGTCCTGAATCGGCTTCTTGTTGCTTATTGCAAGAATGGTCTTTTTGACAAGGCAGAGTTGGTTCTGCAGAAGGCAGTTGTGGGGAGGACGCCTTATGCAAGTACTTGGAACATCTTAGCAATGGGGTATGTGGAGAATAAACAGATGTCCAAGGCGGTGGAGATGTTGAAAAAGGCTATGCTGGTAGCAAGAGAGGGGTGGAGGCCAAATTTGGCCACTTTGGTTGCTTGTTTAGATTACTTAGAAGAGAAGAGAGATGTGGAAGGAGTGGAGGATCTCGTGAGGTTATTTAGGGCCACAGGTCCTTTGTCTAGGGATCTATACCACAGGTTGCTCAGAATTTATCTTGCAGCTGGCAAACCAAGCTCAAGCATTCTAGATCAGATGAAAGTGGATGGGTTACCAATTAATGAAGAAACACAAACGATCCTAAAAACAGGGCAAGATTTACAAGTGGAGATGTTAGATTAGTGAAGTGTGAGATCATAGTTGATTTGTTGGATGGCCAACCTGTTGCCTATCATGTCCAGAAATTGGGGTAAAGTTGTTCAAAATTTTGAGAAAATACAAGTTAACATCTTTGTCTCCATTGCTATTAGGATTCTCCTAAGAATTGTTGGACAGTTAAATTATAACAGGTTGGTTCAATAAATCTAACAGCATCCTTTCATGCTAAAAAACAATTTGCATGACCTTTTTTGTTAGTGAAATCTTGGTGTTGTGATGCATTTTAATACTTGAATTAGAACCTCATCATTATTTCTCACTATAATTTTGACACTTTCTTGGAAGAGGATTTTCCTGGCAAAATTGCAGGCTAACACCATCTACCATTCTACCTATTCACCAAAAACCTTTGTGTGTGTGGGATTGAAAGTAGAGAAACAGAAAGTTGTTGAGGAATTTCACAAAATTTGTTACCAGCTTTCGTTCAACTTTGCTTTGATCATGTGATCATCATGATCATGATCAGATAGAATATACACCGCTTGAAAGGATTAACCCCTAAAGGCTTTATTTCATATTCTTGCTTTGAAGTGGCGGTGATGGATCCATATGGATTTAGAAGCTATTTGACTAATAAACCAGTCATTATTGAAGACCTGTTTGGGTGAGCAAGCACCTTAATGGGCTCAGCGGCCTCAGCCTACTAGTTGTACGAATCCAAATGAAACAGGATGATCTTAGTCATCTTTTTGGTAAAATGGTCATTTCACTCCTTTATTCCAGAATATCAGTGATTTAAAAACCTACACGACCCTGGTCTTCTTCAAGCAAAAACTCTGAACACATTCTGAAAGTAGGGGCCTCTGGTCGTATATCGGGAGCATCTCCCCATAAATTTTATATACATGTATGGGCCAATGTGCGTCTGGATGCTGCGTGCATAGATGTTTTTAGTTTTTGCTTTTAGGAGATCCGAGGTCTGTAAAGCCCTAACAGGCCTCGGTTGGGGTTCCAGTCCTATAATATTAAAATATATAATATTTTGGGTACCGGGGTATTGTATATTCTTGTTATTTCCACTAATTATTTCTTTTTAATGCAACGTATCCAACCTATAATTTCGTTTAATGTTCAAATAAAATGATCGGTAATCCTTCTGTTTGATGTTTATATGATAATCTCACTTCAGAATTTCTATACTATATATTATTCTTATTAATTTTTGTTTATTTTGTTCGGGATAGAGTACATTTATGAAGCAAAGTTACATGAATATCATCCCCTTATACTAGCCACATGTATGTAAGCTTAATCAGAGGTTACAGGCGTTGTACACTCTGTAAACAAAATTAAATAAAATTTGACTACCAGCATGAAGAATCCTAGTCAATAATAAATTGATGAAAGTTAAAAAAAAAAAAAAAAATCCAATTATGGGTTGTTATTCGAACTATCAAAATGGTTATATATTGAATATTGATCCGCATGCTAAGGAGGCTGCAGGCTGCTAAGAGAACTGATATTGAGAAGAAAAGGTTTGTCCAGATCTCCATGATGAAGGAACGACGTTGAAAAATTCTAGGGTTTTGCCATCAGCCAAAGTGAGTTTGAAGGACAGTATTTGGCTTCGCAGATCGATGCTACTTTGCCAATTTGCTCCCCAGTTCCTGTGCATGGGAACCCATGTTCTTGTCCTTGATCCCTTAATCCAAGCAGCCTTCACATCTCCGCTCCCGCCTACGTTAGTGATCATCACCATATTGAAACTTGATTGGCCCTTGAGGGTGAAACGGACCCCTCCTCTCCTTCTGCATGGAATCCTTTCATCCACATACAAAAAACCAAAGCTTAATTAATTTGTTAGATAAATATAGGCTGTATTTAAACCCTTTAATCGTTTGTCGGATTGTGATTAGCAAAATGTTAGAAAGCTCTACTTTGTGCTGAAATACTAGCAAGCTAGCCTTGTGGGAACCAGGATCAGTTGTATCTCATGAACATACTTTTCTTAGAAAGAAGAAGAGGAGAAGAAAAAGCTTATTTTAATCCAAGTGGGTGCCTATAATTCTTTTGGTTGTAAGAGTGTAAGATATTGAAAATATTCTTTCCAACGGAAGTAGCAATTATTCATTAAAAAAACTGAAGTAGTTATTAAAAGGGTACTATTTTAAATTTTAATAATGTTTTGATCTTCTTTTGAATTAGTTATATGAAAAAGTAGGGACAGGCCTAATGCAGATTTCTGATTTCCACTGCAGTGCTATAAACAATCAAAATGTCAACAACCCACACTCTATGCATCAACACCCCCCCGTGAATTAGCATCAATTCCGAGCTGAGATCTACCCCAACAGTACTTTGAACCTACAAATTTTGACCCTGGGCTGAACCGTCATTCTCCCTTAATTATATTAGTCTGATTAATTATTGCAAAAGTTGCTTAAAAACAAATGTAACAGATCTTAGATTGAGATTGAAGTAAGTAAGAGAAATGTTTAAAATATATCGCAATGTATTGGTGGTGCATATCAATATGATCGGTTTTTAAACCCACATTTTTTTTAACCTTATTGTATCACTCATTTGAATCGTGCAATACACATAAGAGTGTTAGTTGGACTGGATTTGGTCCAATTCGATTCAGTTCAATGTGAGTCCACTACAAATAGGCCAGGTTCAATCCAATCCAATGCATTTTTTGGACCAGTCCAATTCAATGTCCGGACTGTCCAATCTGCTCAAATTGGTTTTAATTTAGATTGGTTTCAACTCAAATACAGTCTATTCTTATCTTATATCAATGGACCACATATTGACTTAATCCAACCCAATCTAATATAAATTTATTACGTCGAACCAAGTTAATCCAATCTAATAAATATTTTGGACCGGTCCGTCCAAATTGATTTTGGACTGGATGGGGTCCAGTCCAAAACCGGTGCATTGACACGCTCAAATAGGCAATGAATAGTATGAAAGTTGGAAGGAAAATGATGAGTACCTTGTGTAGAGCACAGGAATGATGCCTTCATTTCCTTGACGTGCAATGCGAAGGAAAGCAGGCAAGGACATATCGAAGTGGTGACGAGGGAGATCGCACCACCCTCCATGATTATTGGGAGGGCAGAAGTTGGTAGCGGTGATGGCTACCGTCCTACCCCGGAGGCACCATTTTGGGTCAATCTCTGCATTGCACATTACCTGGAAGCATGCACCACAGGCCTCACCACCTCGGAACAGCGCACTGCTCAACGCTGCAGTATTTACACCAAACCCAGCATGAAATGTGTTATCGTACCCACAAGCCCCTCCTACACGTACCAACCACACTTGACCAAGTTAGTTTCCATCTGACTAATAATAATTTAACTACCTCTCTCTCCCTCTCTCTCTCTGAACTTCTGATCATGAATACTTACCGAGGGTGGTGGGGTTGTCGGTGGCTCCATAGAAAGTTGCATGGCCGGAAAGCCAACCGTTGGGTTGTCCATGGATTCTCCCAAGAACGACGCTGGTGATAAAAGGAAAAAGCCAAAGCAAATAAACAGAAGGAATCACAACGGGTGATGCCATTTTCCTTTTTCTGTATATGTATTTGGAAGTTGACAATTGATCAAAGAGATACTGCACAGCATCTCAAAGCTAACCCACCTCCATTTATAAACGCTTAGCCATGCAACTCGACGCGGTTGTCGGTGATTATTAATATAATCTACTATTGAGAATTTGTTTCTTTCCTTCCTGAATTCGGGCTAACTGACGCGGTTTTTCACGTTCTCGATCGGCCATTAATGGCTATGTATGCTTCTGGTACGGAGGAACATGTACGGCTTGAAAATAAGCTCATCTGGGTACGTTAAGTACACATGCTTGTTGTCGACTATTAACTGTGTATTTGTTTATTAATTGTATGATGATTGATGGTGTTTGTTTTTTAATTTTATATTTAGTAGGTTGGGATAGAATATAAGTTTTTTCATTGAGGAGATAATGGCTGCACATGGTTTCCAAAAGCAGAAAAGAAACCGAATTTTGTCTCTGTTATTGGTTGACAACTTGATACAACACTTTAGTTTATGCAGCAGTTGGCATTGTTGTTGGTGTTGGGATGACAATTGACAAAACAGTGGTAATAGCTAGCACATTTTTGTTCATTTCAGATAGATCCGTTTCCAAAGAAGGTGGTCTGTTTACTGTTTTAATTTTCACCCAACTTTGTCCTAGTATAGTTGTTTCAGTAACTGAGCCAAATTTAGATGGATGACTGCAGCAACCTGATGAAGCTATATATGGACTGAGGAGAAATGGGCATGTTGATCATAAGACTGAGGAGAAATGGGCATGTTGATCATCAGCCAAGGTAAACCCATTTCTATATATGGCAGTGTAGACTGTTATTACAACTGTGGAGGTAAGTATTTGAAATTGAATTGAAATAGAGAGTTCAATTTTGCGTGTGGGACCTCCGCAAGAGAATGAAGGGCAAGAGGGTCGAAAGCAAAGAGCAAGCCTAAACCACATGTTTGTAGGTCTTTGGGTTTCTTGAGGGGAAACAAAGTACAAAACTATGTTCAGACAAAGTTTGCGATCGATCCTTTACTTCGTGTCTGTGTGTGGGTCAGTAGAAGCTTCCCACTGCAGCTAATATGCCGGTGGCGAGAGAGAGATAGAGAGAATTCCAAGTGTTTAATATTAGAATTATCTATCTATTTAATTTTGAGTACTTTTTCTTTAATTTAGAGGTCGGTGTAGTGGATCAGTGTGGACAAGTTAAAGAGGGTTTGGGTTAGCTGTGTAAGTTTCTTAAAACAGTCCTTTTGGGTGTTCATCCAAACCATTAATCACCATGTGTTTTAATTTCATAGAAATTTTCAGGAAAGTTGGAGCTTTTTCAGATGAGTCTCCGCCTCTTAACCTGTAACTGGGTTTTTGGGTGTTCATTTAATTAATTTCTTCAGCTGCTGGAAATTTCTCTCATCAATATAGTTTTGCAAAACCCAAGGCTCTTGATCTCCGCTCAATATGGTCTAGGAATTATTTTGGAGCCAATGATGATTAAGAATAACAGTGGGTGAACTGATCAATGACTTATGCTTTGTCTTTTAGTAAAGGAGTTATTCAGGAGGTAGATCGCCAGCAGCTCCTAAGCTGAAGTTTAGTTGATTACTATATCCCGGAATATTTCGGTGACGTGAAAGCCACCGAAAGTTTTGATTGTAATATGTGGCCTACGCCAGTTAAAATATATTCTTCCCTCTAGGCGGCAACGGTATGGAGCATAAGAAGTTGGGGTTTTGAGTCAATTGCCACTACTCCCTTTCAGCAATCGCGACCATATTTTGAGTCGTCTGGGGATTTGAAGTCAAGTGAAAGGGATGGAATTCTCGAGACCGGATCTGCTTCTCACACATGGCGCCTCGTACTGACCTCATGTGTTATTATTTATGGAAGATGTTCTTGTGAGGCGCCCTGAGTGAAGAGCAGAACTCAATTCGAACTTCTTGAGCCTTGTAAATTCAGTAAAAGGAGAAAACTACATTGGGTGAGTGGACATCAATGTATTTTTTTGTTTTGGTCTTCGCATGGAAAGACTTGCGTGAAAGACATTCCTTAACCAAATGGGCTTCAAACTATTCAGATTTCAATGCAAAAGCTCAATGCATCTTCTAATTGCCAAAACTATCAGAAGATCTTCTCAAAAAGACTTGCCAAATGATCTCATAATAAAAAAGAGCCGATCAAATTGATTGACCCCATAAGAAAAAAGAGCCGATGAAATGATTGAATCATTGGCATTTCTACCTAAAGGCTCAGTTTAAAAGGAATAAAAATACAAATATGTACGATGCAAATACATACATAATATAAAATTTTGCATTCTACATATTTATATTTGTACTCCTTCCAATCTGAGCCCAAATGCATTTTTTTTTCTATCTGAACATATATTTTCACCGATTTGTATTGACGATCAACCCATTAACGTTTTAGGTGGAAACAGATATAGTACCAAAAACAGCCTAAAGCAGTTCCACGAAGAAATAATAACCAATTACTGTTGGCTTGGTAGAAAGCATCTTCGTTCAACAATAAACGAAACCAAAAACAGACCAACACCCATAGAATTAGCTAAGAAACAAGAAAGAAGAAAGAAATAAAGAGAAAAAAAATATACACTTACACGACACACTACTTACCCTACACCACTACTAGTAGTGAGTACAGCCACCATATGATCTACCTTGTTGCCAGCCACCACCATATGATCTACCAATTAGAGATTGTTCTTTTTCGGTAAAAATCCAGTCTGAGTAAGGAGTATTGATATTTCTCATCTAAAATTAATAGTTGTTGTTCTAGCTTCTATGGGTTCTTTGCTATTTCTTTATGCTGTGTTTGGTTGCAGTGCAAATTTATTTGCACTGATGCAAAACTATGGCAGTGCAAATATTTTGGGTGTAAATTTTGATTTTTTTTTTTTTTGTTTCAAGTTTTACCTTACTTTGTTTGGTTGCAGTGCAAATGTTTTGTATTCTTTTCATTTACACTCTCATATATTTGTACTAGTACAAATTGCACTGCAATCAAACACAGCCTTAGTTCCAAGTACCAAGTTTTTCCTATACACAACACGAGCCTAGTCTTCAAGTCTGAATCAAGTCTTTTCTCTTAGTCCAAGTTGCATTACTATTCGTAGCCCATTAGGCCCCGCAAAATAGCCACTGTCCACATCATATATTCAGCATATGCAAAGTTTTGTGATGAAAAGGGCTAGGACTGCAAGTTGGGTTGTTCTGCATGGGCTTGATTAGGGTTTGAGCCCATTTAAAACTTAACAAATTCTCAACCCAACCCGACCCAAGTTGCACCACTACAAAGGGCAAGTATCCTATGTCACTTTATTTCAAAGGTCTTCTAATCTATTGATTGGCCTAGTCATCACTATCGTCCAAGTCTTAATCCAATTATATGGGATTTATTTACCAAAATAATTTGATACTTCTAATTGAGAAATGAGAAAAGGACACAAGTTAATGGAGAAAATTTTGGCTCTCCACTTTTATCAGCGTGTGCTGTCTACAAGGCTCTATACAGACTCCCTACACGAGTAACACAAGTTAGAAATACTGTTTTATTAGTCCTATGCACCTAGAATTTCGCACTAGATTTGGTTTTGCATTTGTTTGTTTGACTATAACTTGCACTCCTACTCCATACAAAATTTATATTCAGTTTAGAAGGAATACAAATACAAATATGTACAGTACAAATACATATAAAATAATATAAAATATAAGGATTTGCACTCTTTGTACTCCTTCCAAACTAAGACTTATTTACACTCATTGGCAGTGCAAACCAATGGGGATTACACTCATTTGCTTCCTACCTTACTTATTTACACTCATTGGCAGTGCAAACCCTTATTTACACTCATTGGCAGTGTACTCTTTCCAAATAAATAACCTTCCTCACACCTCCATTCTCTTTCATATAAGATGGTGTTTGGTAGTGTGACCATTTTTTGGGACTGTTTTTCGAATAAAACAGCCATTCCTACTACCCCATTTTTTGCCATATTATGTTTGATAGTGTTTCTACCACATAGGCAGTGAGCATCGTTTTTTCACTCTTGTTCTGTTTGGTAAGGTGATTTTCGTCACCGATTTTCGTGTAGTTACACCCACTACTATGTATGATGGTAAATGCCATAAGAAACTAACAATGATAATCAAATGGTCCACATTATTTGGACGATTAATCAACATTATTCGGCCTCAAAAATTAAATCCAACGGGTGGAATTGATTCTTGATTACATCCATGATATGAACGTGAATAGGTCTATCATGTCCATTAACCGAGAGTGGTATAGTTTTGTGGATCTTAGGTATTTTGCAACTATTCAAGAAAAAAATGAATGTAACTAATCAAACCATGTTTCTTCATGTTATAGACCTTTCAAATATTCACCTATTGGGCCTAATTGCTAATCAATATTGGGCCCAACAGCTAATTGCATACCTTCCAATATATAGATGCTAATAAGTCATGATTAATCTCTAACAATAAGGTTTCAAAATATGTATCACACGCATAATGTCTATCAGTGGCACCATTTTTTCATCAAGTTTGCTACGAACATAATCATCCTATTTAATAAGTTTCAAGACTAGTAGAATAATTACTAGCCAAACCCAAATAAAAAGACAAATGATGTTCCATGAGTATACCTTTGAAAATCAGGTATGATCGATACCTTTGAAAATGTTTGAAAAATTCAATTTCAATCTCTAATTTACCAACCTAAAACAGTAAACGATACCTTTGAAAAAGTTTGCAAAAATAAATTTCAATCTCTAGTTTACCAACCTAAAACAGTAAAGATACCTTTGAAAAAGTTTGAAAAATGAATCTCAAACACCTTCCCTAAACATGCTTCAATCCTACAAACCCAAACCTTGGACTTAAACCATTGAGATCACCATTTACATTTTAATTTTTCTTAAAATTTGTTGCCATTTTTTTGGCTAAGTACCTTGTCATTTGGTCTGCTTCCAAGTGGTCGATGACTCAGAGGCCGAAGTGGAGAACTTTTGCTGGATGAGGACCT